ACCAGGGCCAGCTCTGGCTTCCGAGACCTGGGACTCAGGCCCATTCGTTGATCCCCCACCTGCCGCCCCCCACTCTGGAGACTGCAGACACCTGCCCACATTTTCCTGTCCTTCAGTCTCAAGGGGTCAGGGGCTCTGTGCTGCCAGAAGAGGGAGCTCTGCAGATGCCTTGAATCTGCTAGTATTTGGGGCCACGTGCACCGTAGGTGGGGGGGGGAAGCGCAGGAAAGTGAACCCCATCAGTGCCCAGGTCCGTGCACACCTTGTTCAGGTGGCGCTGGATGGCACTGGATAGCAAATGCCACCTCTCAGTGGCCAAGGGAGAAAACGCCCGTTTGTGGGGTCCGGCCTCTCATGCTTCCTCTGCTACTACCTGGAAAGGATGTTGGCTTCCTTGGGGGGCTGGGTCAGTTTCCAGGTTTGTAATGCCACCATGAGCATTTGATACAGTTCTTAAAGTGGGTCCAGCATGCCCCCACGCAGCTCGCTTTGTCCTCACAGCTTCTCCAGCAGGGAAAATACGCAATAACAAATACCATTAACCCCACATTCCGTGGGCCAGGGAGTCTACACTCGTGAACAGGGGGAATTTTTACTCTCTGGCTTTACCACATTCAGCTCAAGGATGTTAGCCAAGTCTCTTTTCTCCAAGTTCTGCTCTCCTCATTTAAGAAGCAGAAGTGCCACGGTCCTAAGATTGTTTTACTTACGTCTTAACAGGGGAAAGGGAAATGCATATGCCAAGCCCAGACCGTGTTCAGCCAACAGTCGATGACGCTCCCTCCCACTCGTCCAATGGGTGGCAACGTCCCAAGGACCTATAACCTCATATCACCGCAAGGGGGTATCGTTACCCACACCCAGGGCTGCAGGCGGCGCGCGCAGCCGCGGATGCTAAATTCTAGTCCTGAATTTCCCAGGAGCCTCCTAACTCTGCAAGTCTCAGTAGAGGGGGTAGAAGTCTCGGGGCTGCAGGGTGGAAGGAAGGACTTTGCCCGGGTGCTAAGAGATGCTTTCTGGAGGCAAAAATAGGGCAAAGCTGGGAGGATAGTAGTTGTTGGCTCTTGGAGGCAGTACTGCCCAACAGTTAGAACGGGTTTGAAAGCTGACTGTCCATGTCACTCACCTCTGGCAGCCTCAATGTCTTTGTACAAATGAAACTGCTAAAAGCCCCCCATAAGTGGAAGCACCGTGGGAAGGGGTGACTGGCCAGGGCAGGATTTAGGCATTCTCTAGCCGGAGAAAGGAGTCACGAACAGTGATGTGTTTTTGCCCAAGATCTCGTTCTGCCAGTTTGGCCCAGACACACATAAGAGCTGAGGTCCCACATACAGAACATAGCCTGGTGTGGGCAGGTGGACCCCAGGAATAGCCGTCAGAGGCTGAGCTGGTCAGACACTTGATTTAAATCGCACTTGTTCCCAAAGGACTGGGCATAAGCCATTTTCAAACCTTGCGGATCCTGAAGGAGCCTGAACATCCCTTACAGCAGCTGGTCATTCAAAGTCCAGAAGAGGCTAACCCTCCCATCTGCAACTGGGGCCTCACCCTGAGGGCCCTCTCATTCCTGCCCGTGTTTGGAAAGGATCAGCAAAGAATCCAGAGATACTGGCGAGGGCAGTGTCAACAGGGAAGACACACCTACGGTCGCTGTGCACTAAATCACAAAACCCAACCTCTCCATTCCTGGGCCACATTAGATGGGACTGTTCCAGGGGTCCCCAGGCCTGGACATTGTTGGGATTAAGTTGGGGAGTCCCTCCCTGCCCCCACTACAGTGTCTCAGCTAAAAGTTCAGGTGGTTGGACTCGGATGATCATTAAGTTTGGAAATCTTGATTCCCCCCCCCACTCTTCAACTCCTCAAGGAGAGAGAGGGAGTGATATGCTTCAAAGTCTTATAAGAGAACAAAAGAGTCTTTATTTGAATTTATGTTCTATCTTGATAAGCCCTCTCTAAATGGTTCCAGCTGGGCCCATCATGCAGGAACTGGAGGTGCTGAGACACACACCCTCTTGCACGTGTGTGCACACATGCAGGCCTGCCAGCCTCAGGTGTCTTGTGTGCTCAGGTTTCCAGGGAACCACAATCTTGAAGGAATATCAAGTCCTCCAGGTACAGCGATGGCGGCTCTCGGCCACAGTCCAGGGGCTCAGAAGGTGTGTGTTGCTGGTCACAGGTGGTGGGCCACTTCCCAGATGATCTGCAGGGCCATGGAGAAGCAGGGCAGCTGGGCCAGGGTGTAGGACAAGGAGCGGGTGGGAGCCCGCAGCTTCCCCAGGTAGGCCACAGTGTGAAGTATGCGGCCCACGAAGACCAAGAGGAAGTGTATATGGGCAACGAAGGGGCTGGGGCCCATGAAGGAGTAGACAAGGCCCAGGAACAGGAAGGGGTAGATGGTCTCCATGTCATTCCGGTGGGCCCTGCAAAGACAAAGGGGCATGGTTAGTCAGGGGTTAGCTTTGGGGCCATGGACCCTTCTACTGTGAAAGCTGAGGTCTCTGCCCTGAGAGAGGCCCACACCACTAAGGATTTCAGGGTGCCAGACCCTCAACTCCACGCAAGGCCAGGATGGGATATGGGAGGGGCAGCTGGGATTCGAACACAGGTTTGACTCTAGCATCTGCTACTCGTGACCAGGGCTGAGCCTCTGAGTCAGGCCTGAGGCTGCCCTCTTCCAAATGTAGCTCTCTACAGTGTCCCAAGCAGCTAAGTGTTCCTCTACTGACATTTTGTGCTTCACAATCATACAGAGGTGACTTGGAAGAAAGGCCTGGCAATCACTTTCAAAAAAGGTCTCAGCCAGGAAAACTCCACAGACCACAGTTCTGTCTGCAGCACACGGGGTCGCTGGGAGTTAGGATTTACCCAACGGCAGCTAGTTCGTTGGTTTCATTTTAATTTGGGTCTTTCTGGGGCAGAATGGGCTGGAGCCTACGAGGAAGCATTTGAAATGACTGGTTCTGCCGCTAAATCCTCACCCCTGCTCCCTGTACTGCTTCAAAGAAAACAAGGACAGTGTCTACCTACTGGAGGTGACCAGTGGCCAGATCCTAACAAACTTCCCTACTTCCTGCTACCCTCTTTTTCTGTTTTAAAATAATTAAATGTGAGTACGTGGGGTGCGGATGCAGAAGCTGGTGAATAAACTTACTGTAAATAAATGACCAAACGCAGCCACAGCCGCTGCCGCAGCTGCCGCTTCAACTCTGGTTCACATTTTCCATAACCTCTCCTAATGGCTGGCTTCCCTTACTGAGGGTGGGAAAGTGGAGCCCCATAAATTAGCAAGTGGCCATGCTGGAAGGCCAAATGAACAGGATCCCAGTGCACAAGGCCGTGGCCTGCCCCAAGGACAGGCCATATTTAGAAGGCTTGAGGAATCAGCACCCCTTCTCTAGGTCTCATGGGCTGAAATGCATCTTGCCAGAGCAGATTCCACTCCCTAGGCCCAGTCACTGCGTGGCTGCTCTGCCTCTTTCCACCTGCTCACAAGGAGAGTCTCAGCACAGGCCAAACCTTGCTCCCAACATTACATAAAGCAGCAGGCCAGGTACAGGAGCCTGGGGCAGCTGGCAACTCCACCGCATGAGAGTGAATGACAGGCCCTGAGAATGGGCAGGATATGAGAATATGAGCAGTCGAGGAGGAGCTGACCACGAGAGAAAGTAGCACTTTCCAGGGATTGGGACCAGCATGTGCATGAGGGGAACACAGAAGGGGCCTATGTGGCTGATACGTGATACTCAAGAAGTGAGCCAAGATCTAGAACATCCCCTACAGACCCAGCAGGGCCTAGATCTTTCTCAGGCCAAGCTAGATCAGGCAGGATGCTTGTACGTCCACATTCTGGGGCCAGGATCGGCCTCCTTTTCCCTTCTGCAGCCAGGCCTTGGGATCCAGCCATGGGGAAAGCAGCTCTGCAGCAGTGTGAGGCCACCTTCCTGCCTGCCTACACCAGAGACAGGCGGCCCTCGCCGGACCCAGAGGCAAGGATCACCAGGCAGAGGGGAGGCGATGAGCCCAGGGGGCCATTCCAGGTCCTCCACTAAGGGAGGCCCTCACCTCCCTGTGTGGAGGACAACGTGGGATAAGGCCAAAAGCGATTCCCAAAAATCACCAAACTCATTGCTGTTAAGTGGGAATCAACTCACAGTGGGTTTTCAGAGGCTGTAAATCACACAGGAGGAGACTGCTGTCATTCTGGATTTGAACCACCAGGAGGCGCCACCCTTGGGTTAGCAGCACAACTCCCTACAGACTATGCCACAGCGCTCCAGGAACACCAACATTCCTCCTAAACTGAGGGAGAGACAATCCCTTGGAAAAGCACTTTCTAATGAAGCCAGCAGTCATTCGTAAAGCAGCAATAGAAGGATAACCCCAAGCGGGGTCCACCCACCGCAGATGACCCACAGCATGGTTTTAGCAGCTACCTAAATATTCACACTGGAACATTCAATGAAATTTCAGTCAAATTTTCATATGAAATTCCTTTAGGCCATTTTCTTTAATGCAAGTGTATGTTCTAAGAAGGAGTCTGTTTTAAAAACAACTGTTCAATAATAATACAAGTAGAACAAACATGGCCAGACTCCAAAAGTTGGGGAGATACAGGCTGATGGAAGGATGTGTGAAACAGATTTGGGGTACACTGTCCCTGAAGTAAACCGTCACAGGTATGATCCCTGCCTCCTGACAGTGACTCAGAGGTCACCAGGGCAGGAGGGCGGGCTAGCCATACCATGGCCTCTTGTTCCTCTGCTCTTGTCCCAAACCACAATGAGGCTCCCATGAAGCCACAAGAGGTGCCAGTAATGGGGAAACCAGAGATAAAAGAAAATACATCCCTTCACCCCCAGGAGCTGAAGCAAGCTGAACAAAGAGTCATGTACCAGGAAGACAACTGGGCGAGACATGTCATTCCAACAATAACTGCTTTTTTAATGGCAAAAGTCACCCAAAGAAAATTCCCGCTAGACTAGACTTGCATAGCCTCCTGCACTGTCACTCACCCACAACAGACATTGCAACATTGGCGGTGTTTTACTGCATCCTGTGACAGTAGCAGGGTGGGGAGATTTCAAGGTACCCCCAGGCAGCTTGACTCAGTCACCCCCTCCCCATATGTCCACCTCTGAAGCTCAGCCTTGCACACTGAATTCAGGTTGGATATAACAGGGGCCGTATAGTTTTAAGGACAGGTATAAAATAGCATAAAATGGAATTTGTGCTGAGAGTCTCAGCTTGTCTGGGGATTAGATATGTGACCTTGGTGCTTTATCCTCAGTGAACATGATCTTCAGAGGGTTGTTGCTATGCATGAATCTCATCTATGACCTCAAGCAAGTCTCCTTCCCCCTCTGGGCAACGACATCATAGGCAAAACAAATGTGCATTATCTGAGGAACTTCTAGTGCTGACATCTCAAGATCCAATCTCCTAGCAAACTGGTTAACTTCCCCCCATTCCAAGTAATCAGAAACATTCTAACAAGAGGGCTGAATGTTTGCTACCTCACTGATTTTTTAAACTCCCAGCTTCAGAATTTGGTCAGCAGGTATATTACCAGGAGACATGACTAGGTGCCGTGAAAAGGGGGGCAGCTGGCATTTCCCTTTCTCCTTTAGTCCTGGTACCTGGCTTCCTCTAACCCTGGGTAACATACTAAGCTGAAAGGCCGAATTACAACTTTAAGAACTAATAACTTAACTTAAGTGTTTTACTGAACAGAAAAATGATTCTGTGGACTATAAACACTTAATATTTAACTCATTTTTTGCTTCCAAGAATCTCTCAAGTTCCAGCTAGTCCAGCAGCAAGTGCAGATGGACATCCAAAGTTTAATGTTCTCAGGCTTCCAGGATGTACTGGGAAGTCAGAAGAACCACCCCTAGGATCCTTGGGCCCCCCAAATCTGACAGCACCTACAAAGTAGGCCTAATACTCACTGAACAGTACTCACGTGTTATATAGCAAGCATTATAAGAGGCACTGAAAAGGTGATTCCTTGAATGTAAATGATTGAAGCAGTGCTGGTAGCACAAACAGTTTGCAACTAATTTAAAGGTTGGAGGCTTGAGCCAACCCAGAGGCACAACGGAAGAAAGGCCTGGCAAACTACTCTGTAAAGATTGCATGAACAGTCAGTGGAGCATGTCTGCTCTGCTAACACATAGGGTTATGAGCGGCAACCACCTGGACACAGTAATGGGTTTGGAGGTTTTGATTTTCTTTGTTTTTACTAGGAATAAAGGTCTGGCAATCAACATAATTGAAAATCAGGCTCCAAAGTAATTTTGAGATGCTGGATTATCTCATTGTTTATGATGTCATTAATCACCTCCAAATGACTGAGGAGTAATGTCAGTTTGTGGACTAAGGTACGTCTGATTCAGGCCACGGCCTTTCCAATCACTTGTTATGCATCTGAGAGCTGGACAATGCATAAGGATGACAGAAGAATTGACACCTATGAACTATGGTGTGGGAGAAGAGCACTGAACATCCCATAGACGGCCAAGAGAACAAAAAGATATGCCTTGGTGCAGCAGGAGTGCTCTTTGGAGGCAAGAATGATGAGGCTTCACCTCACATACTTAGGGCATGCTTCCAGGAGCTATTCCTTAGAGAAGGATATGATGCTGGGAAGGGTGGAGGGTCGGTGAAGGAGAGGAAGACCCTCAACTAGGTGAATTGACAGTGACTGCCACAGTGGGCTCTAATGTGTCAGGAAGTGAGAGGATGGTGCAGGATAGAACAGGGTTCAGATCTGTTCATAGGGTCGCTATGAGTCATATTTGACACGAAGGCACCTAACAACTCAACAACAATGATCTCATTGTATACGGGGTCTATGATTTCACTGTGTGAGGTCTCTACTATCTCATTACATAGAGATCTATGATCTCACTGTATATGGATCTCTATGTTCTCATATACAGCTCTCCATGACATCATATGGTGAGTCTCTATGAGCTGGGAGCAGACTCAGCAACAGCTACCAACAACTGAAGCTGATGGTCGTTTTAATCAGACAGAAGGAAATGTATTGGATGCCTGAACATGTTATCAGCAGTCCCCCAGCCTGTTCTCTCACAGGCGTGGGTACAGCTAGTAAACCAAGTATACCCAGGGGCCTCATCTACCACTGACAAGCATGACTAAATGGAACCCCTGCAACCTGGGAGATGTCAAAACACATCCTCTTGGGGGTGCATATGAGCTGCTCTGAGCTGGCCACAGCCCAGCATCCTGCCCCCTCACTGCCTATCATGGGTCTCTGCTACCGAGTCATGTGGGCCAAGATGAGGGGTAGACTAAGGGATATATGGGAAAGACTCATGAGTAAATGAATGAATATCATAAGAGGGACTGTGTAATACCCACTGGCCTGTTGGTGTGTACTGTCGAGCTGGAACTGTCCCACAGCTGATCCCGCCAGCGTGTTTCAGAGGCAGTAAAACAGAAGGCTTTGAACTGTGTGCCTTTGGGGAGTGCAGCTTCTTACCTCTTGGCCACCAGAGTTCCCTATCCATAATCCTGTTGTCATTGTGCACCATCAAGTTGGAACAGACTGATTCCACAGCTTAACCTCTGTCGGGTTTTCAGAGTCAGTTAATCACACAGGAGAATGCCCATCCTTCCCCCACAGAGCAGCAAGTGGCCTTGAACAGCGTGCCTTCAGGATTGCAGTGTAGCTTCTTGCCACTAGGCCAAAGCTCAACCACTGGCCTAGTGGTAAGGAATTGCTCTTTCAACCTAGCAGTGTGCAGTTCGAGTCCACCAGCTGCTTTGAGGGAGAAAGAGAAGCAGTCTCTCCCCACGCAATTAATCTCTGAAAACCTGCTGGGGAATTAGCTATCAGCTTGTTCTGACTATCTAGTCAGATGACAGTGTTTCTATTACAAGTGGCTCCATGAGAGCATAAGAATTTCACTCCCTACATTCCAGACCAAAAATATGTATATTTCCAATGGCCAAGAAAATCATAAGAAAAACTCAGAAAAAAATTCTATTTATATTTAAATGATGATTTGTGACAAGTATTGAGAACTATGACCTGCCAGGCACCCTGCTCTCTCCTTGATGGAATTTCACCAAGCTACTTTTAAAGCATTGCTCTTTTAATACTGGCATGAAATGTGCTCATAAAATGTCAACTAAAAAATTCAGAGCCTCCAACTGCATAGTCAATGTCTAATCTTATGAAAACTATTCTAACACAGAGAAGAAAATAGGCTAGATCAAAAAGCAAAGGGTAATCTGGATTGTGAATGGTTCTTTTCTTCTATATGTAGTTTCAATGTTATCCAAACTGTCTGAGTATTTCTGATTTTTATAATGGGGAGGGGAATCTCTTATTGACTGGGCTGTGTTAAGCATAAAAGATGTTCAGTCATACTCAAACATATTTTCAAAATAAAAAAGGCAATAAGCTAGTGTAATTTTCCACCCATCACACTGGCAGGGATAAGTCACATTCAGAGTGTGACGATACGGGGAGCTGCAGGGGTTGGATGGAGAGTGGGTCTCACATACCCACACACCAGTTGGGAGAATGTAGATTTGTGCCCCAATATTCATGTTGCTTGATTGAATCCTGCAACACACAAAGGCAAATGCTAAAAGTTTAGCTGCAGCTCTGTGCGTGAAAGGAAGGCTGGCTAAGTGTGGCTGAGTCGGACTCACGGGGACCTCACAGGCGTCACAGCTCTGCTCCATCGGCTGTTCAGTGGCTGATTTCTGAGGAGCAGATACTCAGCCCTTTCTCCTAAAGTACTTGTGGGTGGACTCAAATGCACAACCTTCCATTTAACAGCTAACCGTGTTAACCATTTGCTCCTCTCAGGGACTCCAGAGAAAGACTAGAAAGACCTAAATGCCCTTCAGAGGGGAACTGAAAAGCCCAGTTCACCCATTCAGTGGAGTAATCCACAAATAGCACAGCACTGATGAAATGAAGGGAGCTCCTCTGAGCTGATAAGCAATCTCTATGACGTGGGAAAAACAGTACAGAGTGATCATGTATGTGTGAGCAGACTCCTCTCCGGAAAGGTGCACAGGGGTTGGTAGAAGAATGAGGTAGTCCCTGGAAGTGGGGTAGGAAAGAGGAAGACTTCACAATGAACTTCCTTTCCTGTCATTCTGTGCATGAGCACTTAGTAATCAGAAATTAAATCAGCATAGTGTGAGGGGGTGAGGAATGTAGAATTAGTCTGAAGGGACAGGTCGTGGCCAGGCCACAGCCCAGTGGTACTTGCCTGAGGCAGCGCTCCACGTCGGGGTCGGTCCTATGGTACTGGAGGCCTCCACGTCGAAGGGCATCTTCGGGGTTAGCAAAGGCCTGAAATGAATCAGCTGGGCATTACTATTCATGAGATCGCAAGCACAGTCGCCCGGTCAGAGCTGTGTCTGGACAACGTTTACTGTGGCAAACTGGTGAGTCACACACGCTTCCATTCAACCAGCATCCACAAGCTTCTACAGCACCTCTATGGACAGGTGGAGAGGACAGGATTGTTCCGGGAGAACCTAGTTGCATAGAGATCAGAGGAGGCTTCTCTGAGGCAGCAACATTGATAGTGAGGCTTGAAAGCTGTGTAGACAAAGGATTGAAGCAGCAGCATCCTAAGGGCAGGAGTCAAACATGGGAAGGCAGTGGGGACATGTCTGGTGATTTACAAAGCCAGTGTAGCTGGATTTGAGACAGATCATGAAGGAGGCCCAAGATGACCCTACGGGGTCAGTGATTTGGGCAACACTAAGGATTTTGAGTAAGTGTAGGAGAAGACCTCAGCCATCCCAGTCTTGAACCCCATCTCTGCGTTGACCAGCTCCAGGTTTTCTGAATGTCTCAGTGCCTTAACTTTCTCTGCTGTAAACTGGGCATGAAGTGAAGCTCTTCTACCAGGTGAAAGGGAGAACTGGAGAAGGCCCTCATACAATGTCTGGTAATAGACACTGATTTTATTGACGTTGGTCTATTTATAAGTATTGATTTTATTATGACATAAGGTCACCCAGAGGTCATCGAACACCCACACTCATCTCTCCTGCCCTGCCATGCCTGCCAGCACCTGGGCACAGCCAGTCACACCAGGCCTGCCCCAGAGCCTGAACCTCAGCAGAGGGTTTTTCTAAGTTGCTTAATGCAATGGCCAAATCCTATCTGTCATCTGCCCCTCAAGCACTGGTTTATCCTGTTCAGTGTGCCTCGCCCTGCCCTTCCCAAGAGGTGACCAAAGCCTGGGGCTAACTGAAGCCTGGGGTTAACCTTCCTGAATAGTGAAGGTCAAGACCTCACACACCCAAAGCTCCTTGAATCAAGAAAACACCATCTCAGAGGGCCCAGCAAAGAGCCATGATCTGTTGCAAAGTTCCTCAGCATTCAATGAGACCTGCCTTCTAAGAAACCCAATCCAATAAGCTGGCCACCCTGAGAACTCAAATACCAGAGTCAGCTCCACCAGGAACTACCCAGTGCTGATGGCTAGAGCAGCAGGTGCCCTCCCCAGAAGGGACCTGCCGTTCTTGAAAATATTAATATGTCGTAGGCACAAACAGAAAGATCTCTAGTAGGGAGATGGCCTAGTGGCAAGAAGCTGCGCTACAATCTAGAAGGCGTGCGGTTCAAATCCACCAGATAGACCGCTGGAGGAGGGGCAATCTCCTCAGTGGTTAAGTGATCAGTTGCTAACTGAAAAATTGGAGGTTCAAACCAAACCAAGAGCTGGGCAGGAAAAACAATCCACATTGCCTTTCTATAAAGATTGCCATAGCCACAGCCATTGGCCTTGAGTTGGTCCAATGCATGGCACCCGCCAGGAGTTTCTGAGGCTGCCAGTGTTTACAGGAGACGCCCAAACTTCCTCTTGTGGAATAGCTCGTGAATTCAAACTGCTTCACAGCTCAACACATAACACACCCAAGTCTCCTCTGTAAAAGATTCCAGTCAAGAAAACAGGGCACTTCTCTGCTACATGGGATCAACACGAGTCAGCACTAACTGGTTGGCACAACAGCAACGTGGCACAGTGTCAGCTCTGTGCCAGATACTGAATTCTCCCACTGGTCTAGAAGGGAGGTGGTGTTACCCCATTTTACAGGTGAGGAATCTGACACACACACACACACACACACACACACACACACACACACACACCCCGCTTGCCCCAGGTCAGTGTGGTGGGTGGAGGAGCATCAAGTCCTCCCCAGCCATTGTGCTGTAAGTCCACGTCCTTCCTGAACACAAGGAGCCACACTGAGAGCAGGGGTCTCCACAGGAGGTTTCCTCCTGTCACTTCCTGGCTGGTCAGGCAGAAAGGACCTCCCTGGGGTTCACCTCCTCCCTTCCTGGAATTCCCATTAGCTGCTACTCAGAACTCATCCAGCGACCTCTGCTCTGAGCCCAGGTTCCTCACCTGGAAGGCAAGGTGCCCAGGCCCAGGGGAGACACTGCCCAGCTCTGTGCCTTGCACGCAGATAGGACCTGAGTTAACCCAGGTGAGCCTGCTGCTTGCCAACTGCCTCAGGATAGACCTGTGGGGTTCCGGGCACTGTTGGGACATATGCCAGGGGTGAGCCCCAGACGCCCACACTCCAGCGTCCTCTACAAACAGGAGAGCTGAGCCAGCCTTACATCTGCCTTTGAAATGGACAAAGGGGGCAGAAGGATCATCGCTGTCATAAGATTCTTCTGTTAAAATACCATTGAGGCTGGTCCATTATTCCCAGGCACACAGCCTCCACAGCCTGGGCCTTCCTGCACTTGCAGGACAGGCAGGGGACCGGCTGCAGCCTCTCAGAGGTGAACCCAGTTGACCGAGGCCCATCCCAGCGGTGTCTCCTCAGAACCCTGCGTCCTGCTCCCGGATGGTTCTGCCTCTGCTCGCTGCCTCTTTACTGTCGTTGGGGCCCCCATTCTTTACACTTCTTGGGAGTTCGGGGGCCTGGGACTGTTGGGGAAATTCCTTCCCGCGGTGGGTCGTACAACGCACTTGCCAGAGAGCTGGGAATTTCCACTTACAGGTTTCTCAAGCTCCTGTTGCATCCGTGCCCACTCCACCCAAACATCAGAGCTTCGTGCTGTCACGTTCCCCAGCTCCACCCTCCAGGACCTGCTTTTTTCCTGAGTGCATGCAGCGAGCGAGCTCCTGGGCCAGAAGCTCACCTGAGGGCTCAGCCAGTGGGTAAAAGGCTCTTAAAACCAGCAAAGACTAAAAGAGGGGACTGGGCAGAAATCAAGAACCGGAGGGAAACAACTCAGAGGAACCTGTAGCCTTGCCTAGCTTCCACTCCCAGCCTTGGGCCAAGTTTCCCCAGATGGCTTCCTTACCTTCTTCCGCAGCCGCACTTGGCCGGTGATGATCGCGACCACGTACATCTTGATGACCAGCAGTGTGCTGCAGAGCAGGAAGGCGGGGAGCACCTGGCCGTGCATCTGGGAGAGGCCGGAGGCGAGCATCGTGGAGAGCGAGCCGGAGAGCGAGCAGAGAGAGAACGAAGCACACGACGAGCTCACTGCTGACTCTGGCCCGAGCGCGTCGCCTGATGTAGGTGAGGAGGGGGTGGGGAGAGAAGGGAGGGGGCGGAGAGAGCGCTGAGGAGGCCTGTCTGCGAGCAGCACCGCCCACTCCAGCCTGGCCTCGCCGGCCCCCTCCTCGCCGGCCGCACCCCCCACACACACCCCCGCCCCTCATTATGGGCGGATGATGAAGCAACTTCTGTTCCCACACGCAGGGAGAAACAAGAGGCTTGGATGTCCCGGACACAGACCCTGGCCCCTCCTTCCCTGGCAGATAATCTCTTTCAAATGTGTTCCCTGAGGGAAGCCGAATATCAAATTTACAAATTGTTGTTATTGTTGTTATGTGCCATCGAGCCCCTTGCGACTCATAGCGACCCTATGTACAAGAGCTCTAAATGCTGTTCTATCCTGTGCCAACCTAGCCATCTCAAACGCGCATATTCACTAATAGTAGACCAAATACTATATCAGGAAATGTTGTTGTTATGTGGCATCGAGTCGCTTGCGACTCATAGCGACCCTATGTACAACAGCCCTAAACTCTGCTCT